TTTAAAGATATAAGAGTCGGTAGTTGCAACCTTAATTTCTCTTCTTCAATATTCCCGTGAATAATTCCCTCGCAGTTAATCTTTGGTTACGCAAATATGAATTTCTTTTTCTACTAACCAAAGTAATTTTGACTTCCACAGTTCCCGTTCGCAGCCAGCTCCACAGTTCCAGCCACAACTCGGCGATTATATACTGCGAATAAATCGATGCGATTGCTAGCTGTGAAAATAAGCTTTAATTTATTACGTACCCAGCTTTAAACTGATCTGTAGACGCTGTCAACATGTACATACCATAGAGATAAAAAAGTGTGTAGGTACTCATTTTACGCACGGAAGAAGTTAGAACTAACGTAAGCGTAACAAAATAAAAATAACTGAATACTTTATGCCCTGTGCCAGTAGTAGGTTATTTGTGAAAAAGACATTAAATGCAATTGATAATAACAGTTATAACATGGAATTATATGTAAATGTCAAAAGATTGTTAGCCAAGTAGTTGTTCCACCGACCCCCAAAAAGCGATACCTTCATCGTATCGCTTTTTGGTGGTCGGTGTTCGCGAGCATCCTAAAAATTGTACTCTTATAATTTTTTATTACTTTATAACTTCAATAACGAGACTCCGTAGGTTAAAAATATTTCTTTACATTCGTGCTATCTTTATAAAAATATTAAATCTCTATAAGTCAATAGTAGATAAGAATTGATCTGAACAATAAACTTTCAACTATAAATGTATGTTTAACGGCTGCTCGTATATTTTATGTAAGTATTATATATTTAGAAAGTAAACCTAACCTGTTTAAAATATATCAACAATATATATGTAAACTTTATAAACTAGTGTTATCGCTTTCGTTTCAAATTTCTTCTAAACACTTCTTCGGACACAGATCCCCTAAAATTGCTTCTTTTTGCGGGCTTGCTTATACAGGCATATTGCAAACAGGGTGTAGAAAACTGGTGTACAGATTTCAAAACAGATGGTCGTTGACTTCTTTTAACCGTCGCCAGGTGTGAGGTTAAATACCACCATGGAAAGTGAATGCACTCACAGTCCGCCATAACAATTAGCTACACATTTTTTTTAAGATGTGTGAATCATCACATCACATTGATGGGTATCAAGGCGTAGTTATCACTGCGAAAGCCAATCCGCAGTGCTGACTACGCCTTGATACCCACTGTACAGAGGAGGCCTTTAGCCCTTAGAATTTAGCCGATAGGCTACAAACCAGCAGTGGGACATTTTTTTATAGGTGAATTACTATTTTTATTAGGGCCAATCCGCAGTGCTTTCACACAAAGGTAGCCCAAGTGGGACGTTTAAGACCCATTACACAAGGTAACAGTCCATTACTGTCCGCTGTCTGTCTGTTGCCGCTATTACAACAAATACTAGAAATTTTTTTTTGCCGTTTTTATAGACAACGGTACGAAAACATCATGCACGAATCTGACTCGCACTTGGCCGGTTTTTCTTAAAGGTAAAGAACGATACCAAAAAAATTATTGCATTCTATGCGTAGGTGACTTAAGTCTTTTCTACTTAATATTATATCATAATTCGACTCAAAATTTCATATAAGTAGTAACCATTTCGTCTCAAACTCATTGCAAGATAACAAAAGACTAGAAAATAACACATCAATGATGTCGTAGTCCTTCATAATTTTTCAATCGAAATTAATAAATGCTTCCTTTTTTAATTATAAAGTTTATTAATAAAAAAATGAATTCATAAAACGTCTACGAATCCTTATGTGCAGATATTTGCAAAAAATAGCTTGATCACTCGTCCCTCCATACTTTTGTCATGATTTGAATCTCTCATTGATTTTGAGGTAGGACCATGCAACATCTTTGGCTGTTACACGAATGAACAGATCCGTCCGTATTTTCACACCGCCGCCGGTCATTGTGCAGCCGTGGTAATTCCCTATATAAACTACCCACTAACGCAGAAAATCTGACGTCCTACCACAATAAAAACGAAACATTGAAGTTAATAAGAAAAATTGAACAATTACAAGCCCTAAAAGAACATTAATGGACACATTTTTACACAACATAGTCCATAGTACAAGCGTTGCTTCGTTTGGGTTTCTAGTCCCAATACTAGATAATTGATAAGCATATTAAACGTACTTTACTTTTGTAAATAAATACATACAATAGGTATTTAAACACCCAGACAGTAGAAAAAACACTTTTTTTCACACAATATTTTTCCAGTAGTGGGGATCGAACCCACACCCTCTGGCGAAGAGGCAGGGTCACTACCCACTACGCCAATCGATTTTTATACAGGGACTAATTCAGAGAGTAATTTACTTTACATATAAATCCAATCCTCTGTTACTAAAACTGGCTGTTTTCCGATGAGAAAGTATCGTTGTAATTTTAAAGCAATTCTTAATCCGGTAACATCACAAACAAACAAAAAGCTTTCGATAAGCGGAGCGTCGTTTTGCTTGAAACTTTTCCACCGACCTAACATTTAAAAATTAGTTATACATCAGTACAAATTAACTCGCTACCAAGCGCTCTATTCAACCCGTATCCTTTAAGATTTTTGATAGTCTTCGTCTTAAGCCCATGCTTTATGCAGCCCAAGTACCATACCACTGTGTACGACAATATATTTAAAAAAATATAAATTTTGTTGTTCATATTTTTGAGTTTTGCTCTAAGTAGAGTATAGTGGAACTACATTATTTTAGCGATATGTCCCAAAGGGTCTATCTTGCACGCACGGTTAAACTGTCCTGCACTAAGTTCAAAGTAGAGCACCCTTAAGGCATGTCGTACATCACGACTAGAGCTTTGCACTGCGCCGCCGAGCTACTTGCCGCCAAATTATGCGAAGCTATAACGTCATCTTCGAGATTAAAAGTAGACAGAATAATTCACTGTTGCGATTTAAGCATTATCTTGGTCGGGTTAAACACTAATGCAGGAAAGCTCACGAAACCATCCAATGGGCGCTATGTCTCTACTGCATTAAATCTCACTGATCTAATCTTTTGGGGCGTCAATCCCAATAAAATTCAATATATTTAGTTTCTGGTGGCCTGGCCGCTTTTCCCTATGTTAGGATAGAGAAAGTGGCAAACTTTAAATAAGAACTGTAATGAACTTTACGTAACCGAACTTAAAGCCAATGTGCAATAAAGTACTGTAATAAACTCATATTGCCTTATTTGAAAGATAATCTAACCCACTCGTAAATAAATTAGAACGCATTTATGTCTATGTACTACGCTTCAACCATTATTTAAAATATCCCAAAAACAAACTTACCACTAATCTTACATTACAGTCGTATGTTGAATATTAACAAGCTTCTCCTAACGTAAGATGCCAAATTTAAAGGACATCGTTCAACGGTGGGGACGATGTTGGCGTCTAAACACAACGACGGGTGGCGCCTACAAAAAATAAGGTCAAGAAGGAACTTCATTCAAGAATTTACCTTATATTTATTTTCGGAATTATTCTTAATTCTTCTGTCAAACTTTTTTACTGATAATGTTCTATTTTAAAAACCTATATGACTATGACACTCCAACATTAAAAATCAAGAACAATATTTATGGAGTTTATATTGAAAGAATAAATAGCAAACGTGAATCATTAACGGTTGTAAAGTTCTGCGATTTGTAACCACTGTTCAACTCCACCCGATTACATTCGATAAGAGTTCTTCAGAAAGCTCCGGCACGTGTTTGACTTTCGATGTGTTGACTGTACACGCAGTAAAGAGAAAAAAAACAAGTATGTGCAAGCTATTTATAGGCTATTTTGGCTAGAACTCGCAATGTTTTCATGCAAAGTCTGTACCAATTTTGAATCTAGTATCTAAGATGATCATAAACAATAACTTTAGGTTTTACATTTTTTTTTTCTCTTTCTAATTAAGGAAACAGTTGTAAGCAGGAATACAAAAAAGCTTGTGACAGCGTGTTGAGGTCTAAGGAGCAATTTGTGTGGAACAGGAACACTCCTATGGACACTCCTATCGCTTACATCGTGTTATTTTTGCTATTTAATAGCAAATCTCCATACCATCTTACACTCCTTGCGTAATTAATATCGAAACTTAAGTGAAAAAGATGGTTTTTGTTAATTGTTTATTTTCGTAAACCTTGTTTTGTAAAAAAAATTATAACAAACTAATTGTTTTTGTAATTTAATTTTGGTAACCGATCGTTTGCAATTAGTATATTGTCGCAAAATTTACGTAAAACTGTCGTATCTCCTGATCAAATCGTAATTTAAACCTTGAATAGGACCTAGACCTAGATATAGACCTCTTGATAGTTTTCACAGTCACTCGCAGTCCACGAACCTCTGTCAAAATTTCATATGAGAGGTCCATGGATCGTGTGCTCCCCCTTATTTTTTGAATTGCTCATCTTTCGTTACCAGGAATCGCGGATCATGCGGAGGGTCTAATATCCCCGAGTCGTCTCCATGCAAAGGAAACTTCTTTCGTTAGAGCTGTCAAAACCTTCGGGCCGTATTACTTAACAGCAAACTACATTAAAAAAAGCCCACGCTGAAACCCAGATTCGCAGGATCTTTTTAAGGCCATGATCAGCACAGTTCGTCCGTTTTTACGAGAAAGACATGACATTAGACATGGTATTTCTAGAAATTCACTAAATATTCAAAAGATACTTAAATAGAACAAATATATATATTTTATTTGAAAAAGTTTTTATATAAACAAATAAATAGTAATAATTCTTTTATGTTTCTATAAAACAATTTTTATTTTTCGGTAATGAGGCACAGTATTATCAATATGTCTTATAAAATAACTACTTATTTAAGTAAATAGCATATTTTATATGGCAGCATTGCGGTAGTTTTCTGACATCTGTTATCATTCATTTATTTACAGTAAGCTGTTCCGTTAAAAACACTGGACGTGTTTGTAGGATTTAACATTAAAATTCTAGATTTTTTAAATTAAAAAAGCTGTATACAATATGAGACCTAACACGGGCCTTACGCGATTCCACAACTGTAATATTCTCCGTGAAGGCAAAATAATAAAAGAAGATTTATGGATACGCGAAGGGAAAATAGTTAATCCTGAACAAGTTTTTTATGTAGAACAGTCGGAAGCTGATATAACTGTAAATTGTGATAATTTACTTATTGCTCCAGGGTTTATTGACTTACAAATTAACGGTAAATATATTGCTTTTTTCTATGAAATTAAAGTACTTTGTTTCTAATACCACTAAATTTACCGTAGTTTACCTTTTATTATTAGGTCTTGTTTATGATTTGTATCAGATATTATACCAAAAATCTACGCATCTGATTAGAAATGTATTATGCAGTCTTAGAATATTAATTTATATTATTTTTAATATAAAACATTACTTTATAATGTTGTGTAAATTAACATATTATGTTAATATTCATGGCGTTTGATCACTGTTTCATGAAAACATGAACAAAACTTAATATTTATTATTACTTAAATCTTGCCATGTGCCACTGATAAACCAGTCTCGATATTTTTAACAAGGTGGCTGGGGTGTTGATTTCTCATTTGACACTGAAAGCATTGAAGAAGGTGTATGTAAAGTGGCAAAGGAGCTTTTAGCTCATGGTGTGACATCCTTCTGCCCAACAATGGTGACATCGGAAAGAGAGAAATATTCACAAATTCTGCCTCGTATAAAAAGAGCCCAAGGAGGAAAGCATGGGGCGACTATATTGGGAGTGCATCTTGAAGGTCCATTTATAAGTTTGTCAAAGAAAGGTGCCCATGCAGATGAGTTCATCATGAATCCAGTTAAGGTTAGTTTTATGGTCTATTTAATTGGCACCACTTTTTTTTTTTTTTTTTTTTTTTTTTTTTTTTTCAATTCCCAATTTAAATAAGAACAGTTCCATAACATGTTATGTTTGGAGAGAATACTCATTGTAAATCATTTTAACAAATTAATTTAAAACCATCATGTAAATGTATAATATAAATCTTAAAAATTACTTTAAAATATTTATTTTATCAATTCCTCTTTATTATTTTAAGAAATCTTTTTCGAGAATATTGTTCCCGAATTTAGATAATGTTATATGAATGCCTTTCTTTGGTGACTGACTTGTTAACATTCCTAAGAAAATGGACACAGTGTAAAATACAATCATTGTCAGTCTATAATTCACTGGTTAGATTTATTATTTCATAATGTCAGTAAACTTTCATTTTTGTTTTGCAATGTTTATCACAAGTTATAAGTTAGAGATATCATAATATCATGACCCAGTTTAACAATTTGCTATCATGGTCATTGAACTTGTTATCAATACCTTTACGTATTTAGATAAAGCTTAAGAGAGAAAATATTAATCAACAGATCATAGTTCAATCCATATTAGATGTTATTATAAATATTTTATTTCAAGGATATGCTTTGCCAAAGTATGATTTTTTCAGAATTTAAAACTAAAAGCATAAATGCTCCACCTATTTATTCTTATAAAAAAATAAATATAAGCCTTATGTTTAACTGTATCATGTTGCTTACTACAGGGTTTGGAATCAATGCGTGAGGTTTATGGTCCATTGAATGACGTAATTATTGTCACCTTGGCACCAGAGTTGCCAGGAGCTATGGATGCAATCAAGAGTTTAACCAGTCTAGGAATCAAAGTAGCACTTGGACACTCAGCAGCCAATTTGGCTGATGGTGAGAAAGCTGTGAAGTGCGGGGCAAACCTGATCACCCATTTGTTTAATGCTATGCTACCAGTAAGTTATTTAGAGTGAAACAAATATTAAACATTTAAGGTATAAATGCACTGTGTGTTCCAAACAGTTTTAGTAATTTGTGGCGTGTCCCAAGGCTCCTGCCTCTCCCCTGTGCTCTATTCGCTCCTTACACGAGCGACTTCCCAAGAAACCTAAAGTTAATGCTGAGCGTTTTCCGACAAACGCGATCAATCACAAACGTCGCCCGCCCAACTAGCTTTCGACCCAATCGAGGAAAGGCACGTCCGAGTATACATATAAGCATATAGTTCGTTGTCGTCTACGAGCACAGTTTAACCGACAATGTGTACGCAAGGTACATCTGCGTTTCCGAGTGGTTTCCACTGCCCCTAGTCACCGATTTATACAGTCGATAGCCAGGATTTTATATAAGAGTAAGAAGACTTAATATTCTACGGACTGTAGCATAAGCATCAGTTAAAGTAATGTAAGTTAATTAATTTTTCCGTGTATTCTGCTGTAGAAATTTCTGAGAACTGTCTTAAACTTCTACTGCGTATTCCCGTCAAGTTTTCCTATCAGCCCGAAATGAGTGTTTACGTAAAAGAAAAAGGAGCGATGTACCCGTGATATTACATCTGGTTACTGGAGATAGAATTTTGACATAAGACAAAACATTTATGGAGATTATGTCAAACACCTATCGTTAGTAACCAAATCTACAGATAGATAGAATATTAAAACCGGCCGTAAGGTATACCGCCGCCAATTAACTATTTCACCGACATCAATTTCGTACTCGATAGTAGAATGGTTGCACTTGAAGCATTAAATATTATAATATATAAGAATCTGTGAATAATAATTTGGGGAATGTATATGATAACATTCCCCAAATTATTATTCACAGATTTTTACTCGTTACTTGAATCGTTGTGGTTGAAGTATGCTCAATACGCGATGCCTCACGGGCGCAGTTGCTAGGCTATTGGTTTCGGCGGCAGGTGCCGTGGGTTCGATTCCCACACGGGCAAGTATTTGTGTGATGTATGTAAAACGTACTTACAACAGAGGATAATGTTATCCTAAAGTACGGGGCAATGTTTTCAAAGGGAAGACTACAATAGATTGTCTGGGTTGTTGGGACTTACTAACCAACCCCTTATTTCTGGGTTGATGGGACTTAAATAACCGAATCCTTCCTCACAAAAACCCTTAACACAATATGTTATTAACGATTTTAACGCCAGTCACCTGCCATATTATTCTTCACCGTTCACAAATTTTCCAGTTCCACCACCGCGACCCTGGTCTCGTGGGGCTGCTGGCGTCGTCTACCGAGAAGCAGGTCTTCTACGGGATCATCTCCGATGGCATTCACACTCATCCGGCGGCGCTGCGAATCGCCTGCAGGACCAACCCTGAAGGTATCGTCTAGATTTCTCGAAGCTCCAAACAAGTAAATGCTAAAACAGCGGCTACGTGTACAACTCTGAAGCGTGGAATATTGCATGAATATGCAAACTGCTTCTTGGATCGAACAATAAATCGCTGTAAGCAAACCTGAAGGTATAGAATTAGCAACGTAAAACTATCGGTTAATAAATGCAACACAATCTCCGTCTTAATACTTGGCAAGTTGGAATAAATATATATGATTAACTATGTAGCTATCTCAATTCCATTGGGATTGAGATAGCTACGAGAGAAGTGAATTGAATGTTTGATATGTGCTCAATATTGTTGGCTCAGATAAAGATAGAAAGTCCTATCCAAGTTTTAGGGTTTTGAAGGAACGATAAACCTGACAGGTGTCGAGTATATCATGACTAGAGACAAATTTGAGATATTGGAATTTTTCAATAAGCGCTCGAAGCAGGCTATAATAAAAAAAGATTTAAAAAGTTAGCCCTGCCTACCTCACCAGACGAATTGCACTCAACTTACGCCGTCTTTCTGTGAGTTCAGACGACGCAGTGGTTCTTCACCGGACTGGTCTACCCAGTATGTAATATGTACGATCTATGGGTCTGCCCGTTCTTGCACAAGGTGTAATAACAGATCGTGGTCATTGGTCCGATTCCCACACGGGACAACTATTTGTATGACCCACAGTCATACAAATATTTGTCCCGTGTAAGTATAATTATTGTTTCGTTATCCTTTCAACATAGGATAATTTCATCCAGTATATACATTGGGGACAGTGTTTTCAAAAAAAAAACCAAAGGAAAACGTTCTCCTTACAAAATATCCACCAACCCGTCAATGCACCTATCCACCTTCCACAACCCGCCACCAGGGTTGGTGCTGGTGAGCGACGCGGTCCCCGCCCAGGGTCTGGCGGACGGCGCGTACACCATCGGGCCCAGGTCGGTGACCATAGAGGCGGGCCGGGCCTACGTCACGGGCACCAAGGTCCTGTGCGGCAGCACCAGCGCCCTGGACCACTGCGTGGCCAAGTTCAAGGACGCCACAGGTGGGTACAAGTACGAGAACGCCACTGGCGGTCCTCTAATGTAGCGTACATCTGCCCATTCGTGCAACAGCGAAGACTTGCGTGGCCCTGCCACAGTTCCAAGTTCAAGGACACCAGAGGTGGGTCCAAGTCCGAGGACGCCACAGGCGATCCTCTAAGGTAACTTAGATCTGCCCATTCGTGCAACAGTGAAGACTGCTGCGTCGCCCTACCACAGTTCCAAGTTCAAGGACACCAGAGGTGGGTCCAAGTCCGAGGACGCCACAGGCGATCCTCTAAGGTAACTTAGATCTGCCCATTCGTGCAACAGTGAAGACTGCTGCGTCGCCCTACCACAGTTCCAAGTTCAAGGACACCAGAGGTGGGTCCAAGTCCGAGGACGCCACAGGCGATCCTCTAAGGTAACTTAGATCTGCCCATTCGTGCAACAGTGAAGACTGCTGCGTCGCCCTACCACAGTTCCAAGTTCAAGGACACCAGAGGTGGGTCCAAGTCCGAGGACGCCACAGGCGATCCTCTAAGGTAACTTAGATCTGCCCATTCGTGCAACAGTGAAGACTGCTGCGTCGCCCTACCACAGTTCCAAGTTCAAGGACACCAGAGGTGGGTCCAAGTCCGAGGACGCCACAGGCGATCCTCTAAGGTAACTTAGATCTGCCCATTCGTGCAACAGTGAAGACTGCTGCGTCGCCCTACCACAGTTCCAAGTTCAAGGACACCACAGGTGGGTCCAAGTCCGAGGACGCCACAGGCGATCCTCTAAGGTAACTTAGATCTGCCCATTCGTGCAACAGTGAAGACTGCTGCGTCGCCCTACCACAGTTCCAAGTTCAAGGACACCACAGGTGGGTCCAAGTCCGAGGACGCCACAGGCGATCCTCTAAGGTAACTTAGATCTGCCCATTCGTGCAACAGTGAAGACTGCTGCGTCGCCCTACCACAGTTCCAAGTTCAAGGACACCACAGATGGGTCCAAGTCCGAGGACGCCACAGGCGATCTTCTAAGATATTGTAGAACCGTGGCCCTGCCACAGTTCCAAATTCAAGAACGTCATAGTTGATTCCAAGTTCGAAAACGAATATAATTTCCTGAACCTTTTATATACTAGGTCTATACCTTTTAAATTGTATTAACATTATGGTTATAATAATGTTAATCCACATCATTCCATTTCTATTAATTATGTTATGCGTCTAAAGCTAAGAAATAGGTACAACCTTACGCGCAACGTTTTATCCATTACCACGAAATCACTAGTTACCAACAGATGGTATGAAAGTGTCCCACAGAGTGGTTGTGCGATGCAGGAAATGCCTTGAAAATCGCGCTGATGTGGAACGCTGGACCGATGTCCAGCCTCGATAGGTGGTGTGGATGAAATTTCATTGACTTTATACCTTACAGATTGCTCGCTCGAATACGCTTTGGAAACGGCATCATTGCATCCCGCCAAGGCTTTGGGGATAGAAAACCGGAAGGGCAATCTGAACTTCGACTGCGACGCAGACTTCGTTATACTTGAGCCCGAAAGCCTCAAGGTATTGTCCACGTGGATAGCGGGCGAATGCGTTTATACGGCTCCGAAATAAGTAGTAAATTTTAATTATACATAAAGTATATTTGTGTATATATACTATATATACAAGAGTCCAACAGCGTTGACTGTGTATACTTTTTTTTTATTTATCATATAGATAAAATCTATGCTTAATGCCTAACAAACAAATAGGTGATTTTATTTTTTTACTTCGTAGTTGAAAACTACAGCACAAATCCTCGGTAAAAGTTGACGGTTTATATTTTATTTTTCTGATTTGAAATCTTTTTAGAAATGTATTATTTTATATTTGTGATTAAATTTTATTATTCCTTCAGTTTAACAACATAGTTGTTGCTGAACTGATATATGAAAAGACATTGTGATAAATTTTTACCTACTTATTTTAACATATTTTTTACTGTACACAATTGCATTTACGATTAAGAATTTCATGTTCCAGTTTCAAAAGAAATTACTTTTCGTATTTAGAATTTTTTTTTTATTTGAAATGTTGGTCTGTGAGTTGCCCCGGTTACCTCGCTCACCAGACGCAACTAGAAAATATAATACTACCCTTCATTTTCACGGCCATTTTCTGTTAGCGTGGTACTCCCCGGGCGAGCCTGCCCATTCGTGAACCGGTACAGCTACCACGTACGTGGCAGCTCATGCAAGTGCTACATTTATATTAGAAATTATCATATCTATATTAACAAATTATATCGAGATTAATTTAAATTATAACATGGTCAAACCACACTTAAGAATATATCGAAGTTTATTATACAATATTATAACCACACTGCCACTAATAGGATTAAGCATCTCATTTTCCCCCAATGTTTCTTTTTTATTTTTTACACATTTATTATTCGTCAATACATTACAAATTGGTATGCAAATAAACTCGAAATTGCCTTTAAAAAATTAGCCATTAAAACATTGTGATTTATTGTTACCAGTGACTATTAATTTGTATCGAATAAAACTTCATAAAGATCGTGTTTTCTTTGTTAATTCCATACGAAAACCAAAATGCAATAAATATTACAGTGATGTTATAGATCCATACGGCCATTGCTTCTAGATGAAGACTGCCGGAGCTGTTGCTACAATAGGTGCGGGTCTTCCCTTCAATCCCCGTAAAATATGTACTTACCTATAACCACTTATTTTTAAACTTGAAAGAAAAATATGTTACACATTTCGGAGATCGCGTGGTAGACAAGCCGTAATTAACATTCGCTGTACACAGGTCTGCAGCAATGAGACATATAAACTGTTTTACTTTACCACGAATAATTACTTCAGATCTCATCCGGAGTGTTTGTTACTCTACGGCTAAGAAAAGCCACCCCGCCATATGATCACCGGAATGTCTTCAATATAAACTAAAATATGGATATACAAAATCTATACACGGTAGCATATACAGCGTGTCTTTACAATCGCGACAATAAATGAACAAGCATATAGAGGATAACTTTTTAAAATTGTATTAAACATTTACATTCTTTAAACATCAATATTTACAGTTATTAAATTATCCAAAACAAAGTATTTTAGAACATCCTTACGTATTAAACTGTAACGTAAAGTTCATTTGTAAAGGTCACAAAGCATATGAATGGGTTGAATGAATTTAAAGAGACAAAACATTCTGTTAGAAGGAGAGGCTTGTAATGCGACGCTGTGGCAACGAATGAGTCTCTGAATGTATGAATCACTCAGTTGGAGTTGTATAGGATGTTAGTAATTTCGTTTCTTTTTACTTAATTAGTTCGTTTGAAAAATATTTTTCTTTAATTATGGTTTTTTTAACGTTAATACTTTTTTATAATTATTTGCAAGTAGCGTTAGGCGTACGTTCATTTATTGTCGCGGTGGTAACGAACGACACGCTGTATACCAGGCTGCACTAACAAAGAAGATCGCATTAATTTTAGTAAACGACTTCATTGCACTTGGTCTCAACCAAGTAACTATTAGTAGACAGATAATTGAATAAAAAAAACAAGCGTTTAGTGGCATGGAAAATCTTTATTGAAGTAAATATATTTATAAAGTCAGTACAATTTAAGTTCAATAGTTTCCAAAAATATTAAAGTGCAGGTTGCTGATCACCTGGCAATGTTAAATATGATTATTTCTTAATTAAAATACAAGCTAATATCGAGAAAACTGTAATATGTGAATAATAACATGTATATACCTAAATAAAATCATGACAAAAATATATTTTAGGCAGGCTCTGAATTATACTGCTCTGTGCTGTTGTTAACCTGGCCACAGTACACGAAGGAAAACTTAATAATTATAACACCGCAAAATCGCCCGAAAACCCGCTAGTCTTGCTTACGCGAGTTTTGCCCGCAAATTCTCACGAGACTTCCGGCGGTTAGTGAATTTGGTCAAATTAAGATGTGCAACTAGTTAAAAGTAAACCTTTTCCCGTCCACGTGCTTACTAATGAAAGCTATCGTTTGAATAAGACGACTTAATAGAATCAATTCCCCTACAGCTTCGCGACGTCGTGGACAATATACGAATTGGATAACCAGTTGGGCATCTTACTTTACAATAAAACCAAGTTACAAACTACGCAATGTATATTAATGTATACAATATTACTAAGTGTATGTATGTATATAATGTAAATACATTTTCATGAAAAAAAAAATAATATCATGGAATATTCAAAGAGCCAAAATATCTGAGATTAACTCTACCTCGTTACCATTAACTTCTAAGATCTAGGCACAATGCAACAGAGACTCCTGTATTGAATAACAATTTTTTCGTTGACTTTCGGGACAAAAACACTAATTCCGCTCGCCAACGCCACCACACCGAGCTTACTGGAGGCGTTATCTAAACTGCGCTTCCACGCTCCAACGTTAGATATGTAGAAGGAACGAGTGAAAACAAAAAAACATAGAATTCTCCCGCGCAAACGCTGGGTCAAGATTTCAAAATGGCGGAGCGCGCGCAGAGTAGGACATTGGTTCCAGAGGCGCCCGCGAGATGGCGCCGCGACGCCCCGCGCGTTTCGCTCGCAAAACACCGAGACGAGGCTGAACAACTACATCTAATAATAATAGAAAACTTTTAAACATTTACAATGTTCTCAATCTTCACGGAAAGTATTGTCTGTAGATATATTTTACTTGGCGCGCGTGCACGGTCGCGCGGACTACTCTACTAAGTTTAAAATACTTTCAACAGAATTAAATTATTGAGCAATATATATATTCCCGCGAGAATATTGTAAACATTTGCTCGGCTGCACCAATTCTAAGGAGAGAAAGAGTTATGTAATCCTACTCGATCTTAAACCAATGCACACTCCACAAATGTCATTTTCGTACGTTGAATTAAATATTAATTAAAATTAGAAAAAAAATAATCAGTAAAAGAAATCTTTGGATCAAAATTAACATATGCATTTTGAACATGCACCTTCCACGCAATTACAGTAGATTTCAATGTTAAAAATTGAAAAAAAAAAAAAAAAAGGAAAACGAGAAACTAGTGTGTTATATATAACCTAAGATATACTTAAATCTAATTTGAAAACAAAAGCCATTTCACTGCACGTAAAGATTACAATGAGGAAAATCACGGGGTGTGAAGTAGCAAATTCAAGTGAATGCAAGTACCACTATCTTTTGCAAATGTATGCCAAATATACATTACTATTACTAGAACATTGTAGGCTTTTGGGTAAGTTCTGAAACTGAAAATTCCATAGAGAGTTAGCGTCAGGGCTACTCACTAACAGACCCCAAGCGCGAAGATGTTAAAAGACTCGGTGTGAGCAATACAAATGTACATTTCGCTTACATCGTGCGGGTAGTTTTAGAAAAACGTATGCAATGTACACATTTGGTATGATATGTTTTGTTTTTTTTTTCGACTGAACAATTTGCGAGATGAGAATGTCTAAATGGCCGCTTAGTGAACAAAAAAAATTATGCTTACAGTTATAGAATCAAATCAATTAAAAATAAGACACTACAATACGTAAATACCAAGAATTGTATATTAAAATATTTGTACTTTTACTGACTAAAGGAAAAAACATTGGCAACTGCTAATAATCCTACAATTGTAAAAAAAAATAACTTGTATAATGTAGATTGAAAATGGTCATCTCAAATTCGTTCACTCTAGGTGTGGAATGCAATTAGAATTCTTTAACAATATTAAAAGGTATAATAATATATTAAATTTTTATAATCAGCTCAACAATGTATATAATCTATAATAATTTAAAAGCCTAGATCCAAACTGTGATATTTATTGCACAAGCACTCGTGTGGCTTAAAATTCCAAGGGAAACAGAGCTCACAACCTCACGTTTTATGTTTTTATGTTGGCTTCAGAACAGTGGAGACGCGACAAATAAAGTTATAGCGAGGTGGGTGAAAGTAAAGTCAGTTTAAACGTATGATAACGTCTAAACTCACGCTTGTAAAGGAACAAAAAAATTATGTATTCGCATTACAAATGGTGGCACAGAATGCCGCTCCGATGATGCTACACCCAAGGGTTACCTTTAAGAGTACCGGGACATGACGGGCTACCGTAGTTAGTTAACTTTAACTATAACAGAGATCACTACACTTGACGGGCAAGCAGGTGATCAGCTTACTGTGTCCTAACCAGACCGGATGTGCTCAAACGAGTTTTAAAATTATAAACAGCTGAAACCCACCCGAGTCTTGTAAATAGCGTACATATACATATATATCGAATATATATATAGAGGCATATAGATATAGAAATAGATATATTTATTGAAACTCTCCGCCACAACTCCACCGAAATTGCAGGGCTGTGCCTGGTGCCACAGAAGTAGGGCAAATAAGCCCACCTCCAATAGGAGGGTAGCTTTAAAGAGCTCACCTTGTGCGCCTCCCAACCCTAACAGCATCGCATCAATTGGCACTGAGCACGTGTCCCAAACTCCCCCCACCCCCCCCCACCCCCTCCCTCACCGCACCAAAGCCGCCCAGTGCCATCCAATGTGACGACTACAACTACAGAAATTTATTGCTGGATACATAAGGGCGTACAAGATCCGAGGGAAAAATACAATTCGCCCAAAAGAGATTGCTTCTCTTCAAATTTCCCTCACAACGTGTATACATACATAGGTAACTTTAAATATTCCCGAAGAAAGGCTACTACCGGTAATGATACACTAGTGATAAGATTATTATCGAGCGGTGTCAATGGACAATAGATACCATTCGACCCGGCCATCAACTCTGCAACAAACGGCCGGTTTCCAATACTCGAGACAAAATCCTATCTCCAGTAAACTAATCTATCTGCAGATTGGATATTGAAACCGGCTGAATATTGAAATTGATTCACAGCAAGAACATACAATAGCCCCCCGCGAGGGCGACAAAATAACAGCCGCCGCCCGACCAATCCAAAGAGACCTATCTAATCAACACCACCACTGGCAACCACTGGATACCGTTGCAGTATATATAGTTATTTATATGTATGTATGTATGTATAGATATATATATATCAATTGAAAAATCACTAAACACTACGGAAAATTTCTACACTGAACCCTACAAGATACATGGCAAGAAAGGAGGAAACATTGTCAACACGAGGTATCACCGAAACAATCAATTAAACGATTAAGGTTAAATCATACAAAGATAATAATACTTTCGAACACGCGTACGTTGCAACGCAACGTCCGCGATGTCCCTCTGAAAATTACACCATATAAATATGACATTTTAAACTTCAAATTTATCCATATTGAAATTCACACATAAAATAGTATAATTTGTAAAATTATCCAAAACTTATCACACCACATTTTCAATAATTTTTATGCAACCCTAAGCAATATAATTAATAGCGTCAAACGCTCCCTTTGGGGCTCTCATTAAGTTCCATTTCGGTTAATTTACGTCACTAACACACAATAATTTTGATCAATGGACAACAAATTAAAAAAAATGAACATTATAATATTAAACCCTGAATATTAATAAAACAAAAAAAAATTGGCAACAATTAGTAACTAATCTTTACGCGTATTATACAATAAAATAATTACAATGTGCATGCACAAATATCGTATGAAAATAATTTGGCAGTAAAAATTCGTAACTCTAAAGGCCTGAAACACACTGGCCAAAATACTATTCAAATATAGGCCGGGAACATATTTGAAACAAAACAAGTAAAATGACAAAATCAGAGTATTAATCACACCTATCATCCGCGAAGGTTATGTATAGACTCATTTTAACCTAGTTAAAATAAAGAAAATAAAATTCCCTAATACTATCGGGACAAAAATCCTGAAACAAATAACTTAAAAAATATATGAAAAATAAACCCAAAAGTTACTCACTAATAAATAGAGGATTCAGACTCAACGTCAAAGTTCCGATTATTACTGAATTGCCCTCCAAAAATCCTCCCTCCGTTTGCTGATGTCTTTTCCGTCGAAGTCTCGTATCACATCGAACGCGTCGAATGTTCCAGAACCGTTCCAATACGCAATATACACAAGGAAAAAAAAACAAATACCACTAATTAAGTACGCATAGGTTAGACGCGATATCATTCATACGCGGAATAGATATTAATATAACCAACTACTACATTAAGTTAACTATCTGTCGGATGACGATAATATTATGGCGTGTGATGAATAAACTATGGCGCGTCTACAATAGAAAAGCGAGCCACATAGTACGGTGCTAAGTAAATACTAAATTGCTTACAAAATCAGGAACTTAAGTTGTTCAAATTATTATTGGCGCTTAAAAAGCCCAGAAGCAATGTACGGTCGCCCCGGTTGCGTTTAATACTCCGAACGGAAATTAGAGAGCACGGTGTAAAATAATATATTATATAACAAAATATCACACTTTATTATCAGGTGGTCTGGTTAAGTACAATATTTTTGAAAACTTGGAAACTTAAAATGTTACATCGTAGAACCAAATAATGGCCAAAACGACAACATTGATATACTGCCGAGTAATTGTGACTAAAGAAAATATCCGTTACCGACCAAATGTTAAAAGTTTCGTTGCTGACAAACGACATAAATTCTCTAAATTTGCCTAAACGCCGTACAAGTTGGAAGAGCCAATGTCACGAATCACTAAAGAGATTACCGCTACAAAAATAAACTAATTGACCATTATTTAGAATTACAATACAGATCCGTACCGTATTATCATCGATGTTTTCCCTTCCACCTATCTCTACAAAAGTTCGAATGACAAATCGGGGGGGAAACAACTTTCACGTGACAATGTAAAAACGAACGCATTTCATAAATGGCGCAGTATTCTAAAAGTTATGAATCTCAATTTGGAATATTAAATGTGGTTAGCTAGAAAAATATATAGTTTTTTTGGGCTTACTGTATACGAATACCGAACATACATGGATGCGAAATGGGAATAAAGTGTTCACGATGCGAATACGCTAACTAAACGATAGGTTATGAAATTTGAAACGTTACAATCACTTTGGTTCATTTCGGCCGGTGGACTGAATTGTAAATTTTTTTCGCACAAAAACAAATGCAAAACAAAACAGTTTGAGCAATCGCAAATAAAAATAGACGATCCGTAATACAGCTAACATATCAAATAATGGAATCGATGCCGTCTCGATCGCTAACCTTACCGAGTAAAAATAAAATCACCTAAAAACAACCCATCAACAATTTCTACCGCTTGTCCGAGAAGCGAACAGTCCACGCGTCAACGCCGCCACGAAAACCACCAGTCTCGGTGAAAACCAACCGGAACCGATAGAATCGCTACCAGCGCTGTACAAAATTATTGCAATGTTACGATGACACCGCCCTCCCCAATCTGCCCAGCATCCGTCCACATAACAACCAAACCCCAAAAACATCATCGTTAAACAGCCTAATATAATAACCACGACAAACCTTCCGAATATAGGCTCTCAAAACAAGAGTACATGGAAAACATTTTGTATAGACACAAGAATTCTGTAAATGGTAAATATATTTCAACGGACAATATATAATAATATTGTATACGCAATTAACCTAAACTAGATGGCACGTTACTATAGTGTCGCCTCACCTTTGGTCGTAATAAGACTAAAAATTTCCGTTAACAATAAAAAATCAATTGTGCGTTTGAACGTGTAAACACAATCACACAATGGCCAGCGAGTAGACCAGGTCGCGAGCGCGGTCTTCGCTGAGGATCATCACCAAGCCAGAGCAGTTAGTTCCTCGGAGCAAAGCAACGTTTCTAAGGCGACACCCCTACGCGGAACCCTAATTGACATGTATTATTAAAAACTTCACTCGAACTAGGAACCATACCAGCTGCTAAATTTAGAAAGGAAACAACCAACTCCAGTCAGTCAACGGGTTTTCGAGTTCTATAAGACAGCATAGTATTTGGTAGGATGGCAGAAAACTGCAAAGTTGTATGAACGAGCATCTTGTAGATTTCTTTCTAACGTTATTATATTATTAAAGAGAATCTAGAAACGCCATTTGGCCATTTCGAAGATACTCCGATACAAAATGAAACGGCTATGGCAGACAAAAAGTAACAAGAAAGATCCCACCAAACATAAAAAAGACATCTTATGACTGGAACATAAAAGAATATAAGGTAAAAATGAATATCATTAGCCTAAACTTTGGATTTTCTGTTACTAAAACTAAATGCAACCGCAAGGGTATGAATATAAACCAAAAAAAAAATACGAAAGTACTCAGTGCTTTGGGAATAATAAATACATCGATCCACAAGCAGTGACACCAATTCAATCTTAAAATTCTAGAGTTCAACAACTTAAACGATAAAATAATCAAGAAATAGGAAAAATTGGGATCACTGTAGTTCACTGCGTTCATGGACAATGTTCGTTCGTTTGTTTGTTTTTTCTTTTTTATACATTCAGACTAATGTGTGAATTTAACACGAGATAACAAAAAAAAATATTAAGTAGTAGTCAAATACTGGTTTAGCAAAAAAAAGTTAAGCTTTGTAAAATCAGCAATTAAATATAAAAATAAGGGAATAAACGTGAGATCTTGTCGTATGCAGACTTACGGTCGCCGAGCGAGGCCTCAGACTATGTATAGGGTGTTTAGGACTAGAACGTGGTGATTATTCTTAGCCAAAGTGACGATGTAACCTTCGGATGTTATTTTCAGGCCGCAGCAGCGAGAGACCTGCGAAACGAAAACATTGTTAAAACAAAATATTGTTAAAACGAAACGTTGTTAAAACAAAACATTGATAAAACAAAACACTGTTAAAAAAAATTTATACAACAAAACATTGTTAACCAATTTCGTGGTTAACAATGTTAAACCACGAAAAAAAAAACAGCCGTGAAGGCTAGTTTGAAGGCACTTTTATGATAATGGCAACTGATTTGAACGATTTGTTGACGTTGAGGAAAAATTTTACCATAGTAATTTTTTACCATCACAACATAGAGCACCAAAGAGCTGGTTCAATGACTATATAGCAATATAGCAATAGAAGGGAACAAAGAGGGCATGACCAAAAAATTTAAGACAAACCTAGGATTTCATTGGGCATCTAATATGTTCTCAATGAAAAAATGAAAAAATGAAAAAAATTTTTATTACAGCAAAATATAAAACACAGTTGTTATAGAAAAAAATAAAACAAATCAAAATATTTTGCTGACGACGGATTGAAACACTCAGAATAAATATGATTTCCATTAGTTTCCTCACTAGGCAAGCCTGTATCGAGGAAACCGAAATACGAAATGACATAATTATTCGTATATAATGGTCAGATTAGAATAGCAAATTATACAAATTAAAAATTACACTTACAAAATTACTAATTACTACTACACATTAAAAATCAAGAAACTTATATCTAAAGTAGACTAAAAATAACAAAGCTTAATTATTTACATTAAAATCAATATGTAATGTATATAATATATATTTTATAAATATATATAGGTAATGTAAATATCCTTAATAATATATATAGGTATATAGAAAACAAAATATATAAATAATACTTAATACTTAATATTTATCATTGTATATTCAAAACCAGGTCTTCAGTTCTATCACATGTAAGGGAAGGGAATTGAGCCACTTAGTTAATAACAATTTTACTTTTTTGGATGTTTTTTCTTTTACGTTACAATATTTTGTTACATTGTTATATATATATTAAATTTAATGAAGTTACCAAACCTCTGTGCGAAACTTGTGTTGACTAGCGGAGTAGTGAGTTTGTAAGTTCTACGACTATTTATTAGATTATATTCTTTGGCTAGTATTGATTTATGTACTGAAAGTGATACTTTCAAAATGTAGAGCTGTCGAACACTTAATACTTTTGCGTCCTCGTACAGTTGGCTGGTCAGGTATCTATACGGTTTGTGTAGCATTACAACTCTCCGCTTGAATCATATGCGTTTTTGCAGCACTACCCCAGCATGTTATGCAATAGCTTATGACCGACTGGCAAAGCACATAATAGACAGTCTTCAAGGTATTGACAGGTGTTAGGTTGCTCAAATTTCGCATTATGTGGACAATTTTTCGAATTCGGCCCGACAATGATTGTATGTGCTTTTTGAACCTAAGGTTTTCGTCAATATGAACTCCAAGATATTTCGTGTATGATTCCCGTGTCAATGATTCACAGAGGCAGGGAGAATTCATGTTGCATTCAATATCATGGATTTTAATTCTGATGTCATTTTTCGGGGCAGAAATGGAGGTCTTATGAAAACATAGGTAAGTTGTTTTCTTTGTATTGAGGGTGAGAAGATTTTGTCGTAACCATCGATATATGACCGCCAAACCCGTTTCGACTAGAGAAGATACCGACTCCCAAGAAGGACCGTGAAAAATCACTGCAGTGTCGTCGGCGTAACAAAGTATATCGGCATTTTTTATAGGTAGCTCATGAATATCGTTTATATAGAGTAAAAATAATGTAGGACCGAGAATACTACCTTGTGGTACATCAAAATTAACATATTGCGGGATACTAGTTATTTTACCTATTCTTACACATTGTCTTCGAGCTAAGAGATAACTTTTGAACCAATCCAAAGCGACTCCTCTGATCCCTATACCTTCAAGTTTTCCCAATAGGATTGGGACAGACACAGTGTCAAATGCTTTAGCTAAGTCTAAAAACACGCCGACACAGGTTTGTTTATTATCTAAATGGGTTGACACTGCTGTAGTTAACAACGTCACTGCGTCTTCTGTACTTTTCCCCTTACGAAAACCAAACTGCTTGGAAGAAAGTAAGTCGTGTTTTTCGACAAAATTAACTAGGCGTTTATTAACCAACTTCTCAAGTACTTTAGAAAATTCACCTAGGAGCGATATAGGTCGATAGTTATCTACGCTGTTCTTAGGGCCACCTTTGTGAATCGGATAAATTACTGCTAGTTTCCAATTATGGGGGAAAATACCTTTCGAGAGGCTTGTATTTAAGATGTGGGGCAATGGTATTACGATTTCATTAATAACGTATTTTATGAGTGCGTTACTGATTCCATCTATGCCAGGTGCCTTATTATTCTTAAGTCCGAGAAACATTTGTTTAACTTCTTCAAAGTCTGTTGGATTCATAAAGAATGAATAATCTGGTGAATTAGGGACTCTGACGGCTTTAACGAGATCAGCTTGGTTTTGGCTCATAGAGGATAAGATACGATCGGCAAACGTTTGGCCTACTGTGGCGAAGTGACTGTTTATGTAATTAATAGAATGTTGTGCATCTCGACAGGCATCCAATGATAATAATTCGGACGGCTCGCTCATACTATTAGACAGATTACAAATGTTTTTTATTGATTGCCAAAATTTCTTGGGATTGTTTTTATTTTCTTCTAATAGGTTTTTTTGATATTCTGATTTCAATTTACGTAACAGACCCACAAAGAAATTTTATACCTTGTGTAAATTTTTTTAAGCAATTCGTTTTCCGGATCCTTCCTATATTGTAAATGTAAATTATCCCGGTGCCACATGCATCGCATTAATCCAGGAGTAATCCATGGTTTTAGATTATATCGAGTTCTGCTAATTTTTATTTGACGAGTATGTTTGGATATTGTATCTGTAAAAATGCGCATAAAAAGGTCAGTAGCATAGTTTACATCGTCACAATCGATAACCACAGACCAATCAGTGTTAGCGAGATCTCATTTAATAGCATCGAAATCCCTTTTTATTATAAAACGATCAGGTCTACAATTCGTTGTTTTGTTTAAACTGATTCCTAAAGCGACTGGGTAGTGATCAGTAATATCAAGGTGGCACACAGTGGCTAGAGGTGCTTTCAAGGGGTTTATATTTTTGATGTAAATGTGGTCAATACAAGACGAAAATCTAGTGGGCTCAGTTATAGCTGGGAGCATACCATGTTCAGCCATGAAGCATTGATATTCCAAACTACACGGACTGCTGACGGTATCCATTATGTCCACATTTATGTCAGCAACAAGTACAAAAGGCAACTCATTTAGTTGATTCATATAACTATCAAGTGAAAGCAAAAAGCTGTCAATATTTCTAAAAGATGGTGTACGATATACACATAGAGCATTAATCACCTTAGGAATATATACTGATAGACAGTTAGCATCATTAACAACCGGTTCCGAAACCACAGCACTCCAGACATCTCGCAGATACACAACAACCCCGCTATTTTGGTTGATATGTTTATTACATCTGTATGAGTTATAGCCAGGTATTTGGGGATATATTGACAATATTATATATTGACAATATTATATATTGACAATATAATAGTTCACTTAGCCAACCAAAATATCTTCAGTGACTCAATTTACGGATTCAATCATAGAATTCCCTTTCCATCTTGCTCGTAATTTTATTTGTATTGCTATAGTAAGGGTACAACAGTAAAGAAGTCTCCACGAGTGGTCCATAGTATAAATGCCCATGGTCCATAATAAAAGCAGGGCATGGCCTGAGCGAGAATCGGCGAGCGGAAACAACAAGCTATAGTTAGTTTGCGCGACAAAATCCGAAATGAGGAAATTCGCCGAAGGACCGGAGTCACCGACATAGCTCTTCGCATTTGCAAGTCGAAATGGCATCGGGCCTGTAGGAGGACCGACATCGTAAGAGTCGTGGGCAACCAGTGGATGCAAATGGCAAACGGGTCGTTCGTTGTGGCGTTTTAAGGGGATGGCCTATGTTCAATAGTGGACGTCTAGCAGCTGATGAGGATGGATGACCAAATAAATAAATGAATATTTTAGGACACATTTTAACACACACATTCTCTAGTCCCAAACTAAGAAACACTTGTTAACATATAAATGTACTTAATGATACTTTTCCTTTGTAAATAAATAAATATTACACATAAATAGACACCCAGACACTAAAAAAAAAACTATGTTCATCACACAATATTTGTCCAATAGTGGTAATCGAACCCACACCCTCTAGCGCAGGCGGCACGTACACTACCCACTACGCCATTCGGGTCGTCGATGATGATGATGATGAAAGTTAGTTTAGATAGCAACTAGTAAAGCAACCAGATTGTGGTAGGACCTTGCAAGTGTTCACTGTTACAACCGGTTAAGTATCACGACCTCACTGAAGACCGGCGTATATTAGAAGTGTTACAACTTCTGCGTTTCGTCTGGTGAGTGAGGGAGCCGGGGCCCACTTTATTCAAAGGTGGCAACGCGTTTGCAACCCTACAGGAGTCGTAAATGTCCATGGGCGGCGGTTATCACATCAGGGAACCGTCATCTTCTCGTTTCCTACTTCCTCACATAAAAAAAGAAAACAAAAAAGAATAGTGCGTGGACTAACTCCCTCCGCGCGGAAGAAGCTTATTCGAGTGCCACGCATTCATTCTCGCTCCGTCTCTTTCTAACCAGGGGCGTCGAACGTTGAACAACAGTGCTCTCACACCCCCTCCACGGTAGCGTTAACCGTTTAACGCAACCTCGTCGCGTCAGAAGGTTCATTTCAAAAAAAAAAAAAAAAAAAAAAAAAAAAATCGAGCACCTTGACGTAGGGGCACTCGAACTCCGTGACGAGCACGCCGTCGCGCGAGAACACCGCCACGTGGAACTTGTTGCCGTGCGAGTCGCCGATCAGCACGTCGCCCGCGTCCGACACGTCGATCCCGTTCGGGAAGTTTGTCACGTTCTCGCACCCGATGCGGCGCAGGAACCGGCCCTCGTCGTCGAACACTACCACGCAGTGGCCCTTGAAGTCGCACACGTAGAACTCCTTGCCTGCGGACGTGGGCGACTCTATGCGGGCATTGTGATTGTGATTCGAGCGGAATGGGTCGGCCAGTGAGTCGCTGAGATCCATTGTGGTCTTCCCTTCGAAGCGAAGAACTGTGGTGGCCACACGACAGTTTATGGGCTGTTGCACGAATGAGCAGATCCATCCGGGTTAGTACTCATAAAAGACCGGCGTGAAGTTGAAGTGTTATACTTCAGCGTTTCGTGTAGTGAGTGAGGTAGCCCATGCCCACTTTATTAAAGGGTTCTTTATCATTTGTTTCATATTTTAATTATGTATTAATTTGGCTTTACTGAATTATTTATAAGTATTTTTTTATTTCTTTTATTTTTTGTTAATTTGTTTTTTTTTTATCTTTTATTGTGTGCGTCCTTTTTTGGTAAATAAATGGATTTTCTTTCTTTCTTTCTTTCTTAAGGTATAAGTTACAAAAGGCACTGGTGCTGCAAATGTCCATATGGGAGGCGGTTATCACTTAACATCAGATTGTTCGTTTGCCATTTTTCACATAAAAAAGCGAGATAGCCTCCTCCGAACCAACAACCCTAAAAAAGTTGAAGTCTAGAAGAGCTAAGAGTCTCGGCTTTCCCTGGTTGCCAGCTTGGTTATTAAACAAATGAAATGAAGAAATGATTCGCTTACCGCTAATGGCGATGTCGGATGGCTCACGCATGCACTCACTGCAATCGAACCAGCTCATGAGGTCCCCCTCCTCGGACAGGATGAACACCGTCGGGGTGACGCTGTCCACGGCGACGATCAGACCCTCGGCGGTCACGGCCAGACCAGCGACGATGTCGATGAAGCGTACCTAAGAATGGCACCCAAATCAATGATCTCCCAGAAACATCCAGAGCTGTTCATATCAATTGCTTGCATATTTTTAAAGCCATTTTACTGGTAAGTGAAGGAAAAATTGATTTTCTAATCTGTAGTAATACAGTCATTATGTAATTGTTCGACGAACTATTGTTAACCTCTCAACCATCAAGTGAAAACATTTCCGCGGGGGTCGGGGGGGAGGAAAAATACGCTGAGATAATGACGTCACGGAGTTAGTGATGGCGACTCGAATAGAAGTAAGTAACGACGTCACGGAATCAAAAATCACGGTCTCAGTAGGAACACGTCGCGGTGACATTGTAGACATCACGGAGTGTAGCAACGTCGCGACAGGGTCAGCAAAGACGTCACAGACTGAGCAACGTCGCGGCATAGTCGGCAACTTCGCGACGTAGTCAGTAAAGACGTCACGGAGTCAGCAAAAACGTCACCGTTTCAGTAAAGACGTCATGGAGTCGGTGAAATGAGGTTGGTGGTGGGGCGGGGGCGGCGTGGGGCGGGAGGGGAGTGGTGTGCACTCACGGCGATCTTCTTGAGGAAGTGACCGTTCTTGGTGAAGATCTGCATGCGCGAGCGCTCGTTGCCGCGGTCGCACACGACGAACTTGCCGGTGGCGCGCACCACGGCCACCTTGCGCGGGTACCACAGCTGGCCCTCCTCCTTGCCGGCGACGCCGAAGTTGAACTTGTGGGTGCCCGACTTGTCGAACACCTGCCACCGTGGACATAAAATTAAACACACGTTATTGTGATAACAAAAAACCGTGGTAGGGGCCACGCAACAGTGTTCGCTGTTGCACCAATAGGCAGCTCCATCCCGTCCGGATGAGTTCGGCGACCTCACTATAGACCGGTGTGGTAGAAGTGTTACACTTCAGCGTTTGAATGGTCATTCATCAAAATGATCTTAATGTTCAGAATGATCAATTCAAAGAGTTTTATCATCCTTTTGGCTGATCAAATTACATTTGACAAGCCATTTGACAGCTGATTAGTTGACATCTACGATGATCATTGTTTCACAAACCGGGCGTTAGTGTATTGCATTGAAATACATGAAAATCGTCGCAGTAATATTGGTGGTGCAAATATTTCAGTTTTAATTAAAGGTTACATTCCGTACCTTGAAGTAATTATGTTCAAAAATACACATGAGTTAACGTGTGGACAATGCTTGAACTTTTATGACGTAAAAAGTAAAAAAATTAAAAATACATCATTTCCAATTTTTTACCAGAAACACTCGAAGACATCGTTTCAAGATAATACATTTTTTAATGGATTTCGTCAACACAAAAAGATAAGCTTTTAATAGTTTGTTTTTACATACATCAAAAAAACTACTACTTAAATAAAAAAGAATTGTGGTGTTCTGGAAATTAAACAATACATACATCGACAATTTAAATATAGTTCAGTTTTGTTACAATAGTCGTAGTTTTTCAAAATTTTACATCCGATTTTAAAGTACCCGTTATTACACAAACACGATTAAACAATGGAAGAATCTCGGGTGATCATGTCACTCCCTTTAGGGGCACTCCGAAAAACTATTTTAACATCACGTCAAAAATATATGCGCGTGGGTGCTCGAAACGAATTAAGCGTGACATGGGATTAGTTTTAGTAGTAGTCTAATTTTTCAGTAGAAATACAAATACAAACTTCCATGTCAACTTTAGGTGGGTAAGAAAGAGATAGCGCTATTCACAGTTTCATTTGGCTTATTGAGTTTGAAAATATATAACAGGTCAGTTCGTAGATCGCGGCAATAATTGCACGAAAAATGTATAAAAAATTCACTAGCGCTGCAGACAGAAATGCCATTAAAACAAATTCTTCAATGCACTTCAAATTGCAATGCGAAATACTAAATACAGTTTCGATAGTGTGAAATTTGTTGTTGGTTATTAAGTTTCAATCAACTTAGTAACGAACGGCAAAATTTGAGTTAAAATATTGGTTGGAAAAAAAAACGTCCACCGGACTTTATCTAAACCGCCAAAATCAATGGGGTAGTCATTGGAAATCTGCAGTGCGGACATGTTCGCGCGGCCATGGGTGTGTTGTCTCAGTGAAAAAAATAAAAAACCCTCAACGGAGTTACTTAAAATACTCTTTACTAATAATTGTAATTGTACCCTGATATTTTTGAAAACGAGCAACTGTTGAGTTTCTTGCCGGTCTCTTCTCAACAGAAACCGCTTTCCGAACCGGTGGTGCCTTACGAACCTATACACATAATCTTTGATGTAAAATTTGACGATTCATAAGAGCGCGCAAGCGTCTATTTGAATAAATATATTTTTGATTTTGATTTTTATAATAATAATTCCATTTGGTAACGGATGGTGATGGTGCAAGAAGTAGCTAGCAAGTGCACGTAACATTCTCACGTCACTGCACGCGGTACATTCAGTGGGAATCAGATGAAATTGGCTTTCATGTATTTAAAATGCAAATAATAATAATAAAATTTTATGAAAACAGTTTTCCTAGATTATATTTACTTTTGTTTTTTTTTTTTTTTTTTGTATGTTTATAGTGTAAAATGAAATATTTGTACACCAGAAATGGTAGAACATAAAGGATCCACAGCTTTTAAAACCTATATTGTACTATGTTCTAACAAATAAACGTATCTTTCTTTCTTTCTTTCTTTCAAAATTATTGATCAAGTTTTGTTGGAATAACCGGCATTTACATAACTACCACCTCGGTCCGGATTAACAACTTAAATGTCCCGAGTATAAAATTGAGAATGCACGAGTGCTGTTATATAACAGTAGGCATCGTATCAAAATATCTATAAAGATGTCCTATGGTCCATTCGAATGACTCTCTAAAATTCCGTTTCTATCGCTACTACAAATCCTCAAAATAAATTTTATGTAAAAGGTATAAACCGACGTCCTTAGACCTACTGGCCAAATGGCAAGAAAATTGTCGCGGGCCACTGAGATTTGAACCCCGGAGCTAAGAATACGAGCCACTTTTCCCACGAGAGTCACACCACTCATCCAATTCTACGGTAGTGATAGATTAATAAAACGGCATGGTTCAGTGTAACTAACACCTATCTAAATGAAGACATTTCCTTACATTCCTGGTGCTTCCAATGCTTTGGAAAAATCACGTGGAAGGACAATCGAAACGTCAAAAATTTATGTTTAAATTACGTGCGATAAATTGCGTAAATATATTTTCATTTGTTAATTTGTAGTATTTTGTTGATCCGCAACGAGTCAAAATATTTGCAAAAAACTATTTTAAAAATTGCAACACATCATGGTAAAGGCGAGCTATGATGAAACGAAGATTTTAAAAGTAAATTATTTACATAATTAATAATAAATGTGTTTTAATCACCAATCGTAAAAATTTTAACATTTTAAAGTTTTAGCTAGGGTTGCCCCCTCACGAGGACTAGCGGTTAACTATCGTTAATATACAAATTTACACCAATATCGTATACTAGAATAATAGAGCAAATTAAAATATGTAGAAAAAGTGCGAAAAGATTGTCGGGAATCGAACCCACGTGTTCGGCATCCGCGGCCTGACGCTCTAGCCACTGAGCTAAACGGCTGATTGCCACACCGACGAAAATCTTAACGTATTCTTCTACATTGTTTTCTTAGCATTTGAAGCAATGCTTGGCGCCATCTATTGTAATATACTTTCCAGCATACAAACAATTTCGAATATCGTTTTACAACGATAATTCGAACGAGAGATGTCGCCATTGCTGTTTTTTTTTTTAATAGAGCAAAGTTGATTGGAGCTTCAAAGCGCGAGGCTTTAGGTGTAAGTGGCAAACGATCTGACGGTTCACCTGATGTTAGGTGATAACCGCCGCCCATAGACGTTTGCAGCACTCGTAAGGGTTACAAATGCTATTCCACCTTTAAATAAAGAGGGCCCCGGCTACCTCACTCACCAAACGAAACGCTTCTGCGTTGCAACACTGCTACTTTACGCTGATCTTCTGTGAGGTCGTGGCAATTATACGGACGGACCTGCCCATTCGTGCAACGGTGAACACTGTTGCGTGGCCCTACCACAATTAAAAAAACAAAGGCCCTACAAAGTATATATGTATGTCATCTTATATTACAAATAGGTCCGAAAATGTTTCGTGCACATTAAGACGCACAATAAAAATTTACACGTACCACACGTAACGTTACACATGTCAGAATAAAAATAAACGATATATATTTCATATAAGGAAAAACACAAGAAGGTTCCACTGTTCTTAATGTACACGCAAAAAACAACTGATATGGCGCTTAGGTGGTCGCCACGCTTCGCACCGTGTGGTAAAAGATGGTAAAGTTTGCACACATCCGTTCCGACTACGGGTCTGCGGCCCCATGTTCGTGCAGCCTCGCGCCGTACGATTGCAAGAACAAAAAAAATAAATAAATAAATACAAACCGTTATCCGGTGGTTGTTCGTGTCGGCGACGATGATGTCCTCGTCGTTGCCCAGGCAGAAGCCGTGCGGCGAGTTGAATTGGCCCTTGCCGCCGCCGAGCTGGCCGAACTTGAACCTGATGTGCATCGGCGTCGCCTTGGTGGCGCGCACCAGCGGCGCGGGGGGCGCCACCAGCGCCGCCTCCTCGGCGGCCGTGAGCAGCGGCCGCCCGGGCGATACGCCGCGCGGGCCCACGCCCCCCACGCCGCCCATGCCCCCCACGCCGCCGACGCCTCCCACCCCGCCGACGCCCCCGAAACCGTTCACCTCTGAAAGCGACGCAACGCTGTATACGCGCAACTAACAAAAGTAACAAAAAGAGGTTTATCAATCACCAAACTGATATGAACGTGGGCCTAATAATGTTCAAAAAATACAGTGAAAAGGAGAGCAAGATTAAATGCCAATTTAATCATATTTATTATAAGTAAATGAGAGGGAACGGTGTTCGAACGGGAGGATAAAAGTGAAATTATTTAGAAGGAAATTTGAAATAAACCAATAGAAAAAGCCTATTATATCCCATTGGTATAAGACACGAATGGCGAGCGGACAGATTATTAGTAAAGCAAGCAAAAACAAAGCGCCCACCGGTATTGAGACCGAGCTTAGCGAGCGCCTGCAGATTGTTGAAGGCCTGCGGCGAGTTGAGGTCGCCGGCGAGCAGCTCGGCGAGCGTGAAGGGCGGCGCCGGGGAGGCGTGCGGGGGCGGCGGCGGCACCTCCTTCTCGGCGATGCTGGCCAGCTGCTGCAGGTTGTACTCGACCATGGAGGGCAAGCGCGGGCACGCCGCCGACGCCGGGCACCGCGCCCACGCCCGGCACGCTGTTCACGTTTACCACGCCGGGCATCACGCCCGTGTTGGCCACGCCGGGGATGGGCACGCCCGGCACGCCGATCGGCGGCACGCCCACCAGCGCGCCGGGGCCCGCCACGCCCGTCACCCGCCTCACGTTGCCCAGCGGGAAGTCGTCGAACACGGGCGCGCTGCCCACGGATACGGCGGGCGAGTGCGCGTTCGACGCGGCCGCCGCGATGGCCGACGACTCGCTGGCGCGCTTCCTCTCCTCGGCGCGCGTCGCCTCCGTGCGGAAGGCGCCGAACGTCTCCTCCGCCACCGCGTCGAACCGCTCCGGCCTCGCCACGAACTCGAGCGAGTAGTCCACGTCGAACTCGGGCGCGCCCTCGAGCAGGCGCGCGAACTGCGACGCCACGGTCTTCTTCAGCATCACGATCTCGGTGCCGTCGCCGCGGCGCAGCAGCCGCGCGGCGAACTTGCACGCGCAGTCGATCCGCTGCACGGTCTTGTCCACGCGGTCGAAGAGGTCCATCACCTTGAGCTCGCGCTCCTTGTGCAGCCGCTCGAGCTCCTCGAGCGCCTTCTCGCGGCGCCTCTCGAGGGCGGCCTTGTAGGCGCGGAAGGCCTCGTCGATGAGGGACTCGGCCTCGTCCCGCTGCCGCTGCAGGTCGCCGAGCGCGTCGTCCAGCCTGGCCGAGGCGCTGCCCGCGGCCTCGGCGCGCGCGTTCGCCTGCGCGATGAAGCCCCTCAGCTCGGCGCGCAGGCCCGGCTCGGCGTCGACGATCCTCTCGCAGCGGTGCTCGCCCACCTTGTGATCGACGGTGAGGCACTCGGTGCACGCGCCCACCTCGCACTCGCAGCAGTAGAACTTTAGGCTCTCGCCGACGTGGCGGGTGCAGAATATCGGCTTGTGCACGGCGGACTTCTCCTTGGACGCCCTGAGAGCGTCGAACGGCACGACACGGTGGTTCTCGAAGCACCTCATAAACTCGTGGGCCGAGTTGCAGTTGGAACAGAGGAAGTGGGAGCAATCGGTGCACCTAGCGACCGCCGGCTCCTTGCTCTTGCAGCAGGTGCAAACAACAGATTGATCCATGGAAGAAACATCGAGTATGTTAGTGAGAACATAATCGGAAGGCAGTGATGCGGCTCCTCCACCAGGCATCTGCGTAAAAAAATCGTATAAAATAGAGACTACATACCTACCAAGACATTAAAACAAATCTCAGAAAAATTTTATTTTATTACCACCTTAGTTTCTTGTTTGCATAGGGGGCATTCGACAGCCAAATCATACTTCAGGGAATCACCGGCTTCATTTACCATCAACTTATCAATGCAAGCCTCACAGAATACATGGAGACAAGACAAAACTCTGGGACTGCAAAGTTTATTGCTGCAAAATAAAATATAAGAATAAAATCAGACGAGATACCTTACTTCAGCCAAAATAACAATGGCAATACTATTTAACAAACCATAACTCATTATAAGGTTAACAAGAATATGAACCCTAAATACAATAATATTATTCAGTCATGAATGATTTTCACAAACGGTGAAAATAAATGACATTAATATGGATAAATCAGTTACTTACTCGCAAATTTTACAGTTTTGTTCTTGTTTGCCATTCTCAGAAGATTCTAAAGATCCTTCATCTCCAATACTAACTAAACTATCACCATAAAGATCTCCATTTATTTCTTCCATTTTGACTTATAATTATGATGGTAAATAGAAAATATAACTGAATGTGATCACACAATCTGCAACAATCAAAAGTACTCAAAAACAGAACACATTTTAGAAAATTATTTTAAATATATCACTACTCCAATGCATAAATTAGCAAAATCCTAGTTTTCAAGATTTTGCTGAATTTGAATAGGTATTTCTTGAAGTAGTTTTGCCTATTCAAAATTAGATAAAACATGAAATTCATTATCAAATGTATTATAAGAATACATCTTAAGTAAGCTCACATTTTCTAAAATATAACTCAATTTCTTTAACTCATATTTAGGCCTCAATATCATTTAACTTTAAATCAAACACTGAATCTATTGTACTGCTCTATATTATAGACATTTCATATCATTTTATGTGTCACACTTAAACCAGATCTTATTGTTAAACCTATCTTAACTTATTGTAAGATAATTAATGTATTATTCCAGGAGAACAACAAAGTTAAAATATTTATACTATTGTTTCATCTGGTAAGGGTACCAGAATGTATTATTATCAAAACTTTGAAATGTAACTGATACCTCATAAATGTAGTAGCAGTCATTTACCAACAGGCAAACTTTGCTCATAAACTGCTGAAAATCCACAACTAGGTACTATCCATTAAAATTATTTTACTTTTATAGTAATGCTTGAAGTTTGATTTAAATACACAAGAAAAAGCATGTAGGCACTATGGCTGTCTAATAAAAAAAACCTTTCCTTTTATCATTAAAGGTAAGTAACAAGTCATTATAATTTGTGACTTATAAAAAAGTACCAAGGTTGTAGGTGGCCCAGGATCATACTTCATGGCAGTGTATTTGGGAGGCCTAATTTCAGCAGTGGACTCAAACAGGCTGAAATGATGATGATGACCACAGGAAAATCTTAAGTGTAATTACAAATGTGCCTTGTGTTTCAAAAAAAATTATGTAGAGCCTTACTATATTTTAACAACTCAATGTGATATAACATACAGATTTAATCATTTATAAACAGAAGCATTTAGCATAGCTTCAAATCAAATCAGAAAAAAAATGTCTTTGTACAGGTTCTCTGACACAGCTCTTTTTTAACTAGCTAATGAACTTACCTGGTGATGCAATAATGTTAAAATTAAATATCCATAATTCCATTAGGTTCACTTAAAAACTTTTAAAAAATATTAAGATATTTTATTTAATCAATTATGCATTTATGTTAAAAAATTAAAATATTTTTTTTATCCAACTTCAAAATTTATAACATGAAAACTATCACATTAATTATTTTGTAGATTGAGTTTTATATATTAAAATTTGTTATTCCTTTTCTTCATTAGTTATCGGATTATTCCATAGCGAAAATTATAAATACGCGGATGACTGTTATGAACATTATACATAAAAAACATTTTTACATAATTAAATTAATGTTATAATTATACACTGTTTTCAGTTACAACAAAATATAAATATTGATTTTTATTGGAATGAGCGTTGTGTTTAAAACATTGGTTAGCTTTTATATATCAGTATGCACAGCCTTATTAGATATTCTTGATCCCAGACAAAAGATAATATCTAAGATTTATAACTATACTGAAATAATAGCGAGTATAATAGCAAAAAGGGCAAAACATAGAAAAGTATAGGGCGTAATATACATACCTACGGCTTAGGCTTACGTATATATCAAAAAACGCAATGCACCATGCACGATGCAGACAATGGCGAAGGTCGATATTTTACATATATATGCAATTCACTGAGAATAATCGCGTATACTCATAATAAATTTATAATATTTAACGGATTTACTAACCTTTAGTAGATATTTTGCGGATAAAGCAGATACTGAAACACGCAGTTCGTTCTACCACGCCGTAACTAAGAGAATATTCATCACTATGTAAATAAATAAAAAATGAGCATCAAGCTTCAACAGATATTTTTTTAAATAAAATTGTTTCTTCGATGAATTAAAAGTAATGTTTTGTCAGGTTCTCATTTTAAAAAGACATCACTGTTGTATTGATTTTCTTCCCTGGTTGAGCTCAAGTATAGTGCTGCCATAACAAAAATTGTAAAAAATTATTCTTTAGCATAAGTCTATTTTAATTTTATTCTGTATATCACATTTTACCTTAAAAAAGATATAAAAGTAAAGAAAAAATACGTTAAATTAAGGTATAAACACATATTTTAATATTTCATTATAACCTTTTCCCTGCATCTTGCTTTTTCGGCGATTCTAATTTACTGGATACGATAATTTGTTACGCGAGATGTCACTTTTGCTCTTAAAATTTTAGGATTAATTACTTTTATTTTTTAGGTTGAATGTTCATCTTTGAATCGTCCGTCGTCGAACGAATTATCTAATTAAACACTAAGTTTTTTCACAGTGGTACAGTACTGTATTATAACGCCATTTAATTTTACTAAGGGCGGGATATTTTAGTCATAAAAAACAATTATAGCCTGGGATTTAGAAGGATTAACATGGAGACCAAAGCTCTTACTCCATTCACTGATAGCGGCTAGGCAGTGGCAGGTTTGCCCTTAGGCCCAATAGGCCTGGGCCTAGGGCGGCAACATTTTAAAGGCGGCCAATCGTGACAAAAAATTCACTGATGATACCTAACAAGATATATGATGGGCGCTGAGAAAGGGGCGGCTAGAACTTACTACTTGGGCTGGGGCCTAAGGCAACCAAGACAACAAATCCGCCACTGCGGCTAGGTCATCATTGATGGCGGAACTAGCAGTATCAATGTCTTCAAGAGTTGACTGTGTGTATACTTGGAGATCATCTGATGGTAGATAGAAGTGATATTTTGATACAATTCACACCAATACGAGAATTTATCTTCCATGCGAATACGTTGCCATCGGCCACTTTAATAACTCCCAGTCACTAGCGAAGATATATTAATGGAACGTAACACACCCAAAAAATGGGAAAATTAATGGTTTTAAATGCATTACTAAAATCTAGCAATACTCATACAATAAGCTATTTTTATCCATACCTCGTCGAATGTCATCAATAACTTTAATCAACGCTGTAGTCGTACCTGATCGAAAACCGGATTGAAGAGGATTAAGAAGAGAATTCTTGTTTTCTTAGAGATTTAACTCTTGAAAAACTAGTTTCTCTAAAACTTTGGACAGGAACGGGAGAATAGAAATAGGATGAAATTCGGAAAAGTGCAATGCATGGGTTTTCTTAGAGAGAGGAGTTACTCGAGCACTTTTCCAAAGTTTGGGACACTTAAATGAGGAGATTGATGCGTTATGGAAATGGATTGATAATAGGAGTAATAAATTCGAATGATGTTATGATGATTACGACACGTTTTATCACCAAGATTGAATAAAAAATGTTGTAATTTAAACTCGCTGTCTTGATGCCATTTATTATAAATTTGACAGTGTGCACTAAAAGTTTTATCATAATGTAATATCAAATGCATCGTTTGAAATATTAATTCATAAATTGAAATCAATGATTGTATTATGATTAAATTCCCTTTATTTCTTAAATTTATGTCAGAAGGTGACAAGCGATCTGGTGGTTCACTTGATGTTAAGTGATAACCGCGGCCCATTTGCATTTTTAATACCCGTAGGGTTGCAGATGGGTTGCTACCTTATTATAAAGTGGGCCCTGGCTACCTCACTCACCACACGCAACGCAAAAGTGTAACACTACTACTTCACGCCGGTCTTCTGTAAGCCTGTGAGCTCGTGCTACTTATTTGGAGTCGGACGGACCTGCCTATTTTTTCGATCCATCCAGGGTGATTCTATCACAGTTAAAAAACTACTAGAAAACTACTAGAACGCAAATCTCAAAGTAGGTAAAAAAAGGTGTTATAAAAACTGTAAAGAACCATTGCAACTGGCAGTAATTTTAAAACCCTTAACATTAGTATTAAAAAAAGACAAAAATAAAATGTCAACGTGTTTTTTTTTGAGTGATGTGATGCTATTTCCTATATTACAAAGTACTCTGTGGATGCTATTGTCAAATTGTCATGTCAGCATGTCATCGTATTAGATTATAAATGCAATTTTTCCTAATAGTAAGAATGTTATAATAACTTATTAACCGAAGTGGTTATAATTTTGAGTACGTATCGTAAAGAAATAGGTATCGATTTCACAATATACTGAAATAAAATTTCTTATAATGACATTTATACCTAACTGGGAAGAGTTTGAAAAGTCGGCAGAGATGTTATACTTACATGATCCATTAAATACTCGCTACACTATGAAATATTCTCATTCAAAAGGCGTATTCCTAATTAAAATAACAGACAACAAAAAGGTAAAAGATTGTTGAATATCCTTTTTATTATTCTTAGCATAATTAACCATGAGCATAAACGAAAAAGACACGTCTTATACATTAACATTTTCATCATAACCATTAGTCTATATATACATTGCATACGCTAACTGCTATTTTGTGTAAAATGAACTTAGTTATTTCAATCAGCCAGTGATAAAATCTTAAGGGTTGGGATTCAATTAAGTTTTCACTTTAGGTATTTTTTAAATATAAACCAAGAGTCATGCCTGTCACCAAGAGTGATAGGTAGGTGTGATAATTGATTAGTATTGAGTGTACAGATTCCATTTTCATAATACTTGTACATACCTTTTGTATATTGTGTATATTGGATTCTTATGAAGCACAGTTACCCTCCTATTTACAAACAAATTTAACTCATTTTAAATTTCAAAAAATTGGACTGCATATCTATCTTTATGTATACAGCGTGTCTTTACAATCATGACAATAAATGAACACATATAGGGGATAACTTTTTAAAACTGTATTAAACATTTACATTCTTTAAGGTAAAGGTAAATAACTTTAACTCCGGCGTAATTCAAATCAAATAAATTTTAAATTATTAGAGATAAATCTCTAATGAATTAATCAACAAGCAGAATTCGGCGGTCGCTTATAGTTTTCGAGAAAAA